TGTGTGTGTTTGTGTGTGTGTGATGTCACCCTCGAACATTCTCATTTTAGAAATTTTACTGCAGTTGTGCTTAACTGTATTTCCTACAGTGAACTTGTCGACTGCAGCATTAGGATGAAAAAGAAAAGATGATCAGCAACAAGCTGTATTTTGTAGAGTATTTAAAAAATGCTAAAGAGCAAACTTTATAACCTTTTATAGATGTTGAAATAGAAATGGTAGAACTGGGTCCCTGCAGGAGCAAAGTACCAAATGCATTCAGCTGATTATGATAAGTGAACGTGAAGATTTCCACCTTGGGTGTGATGAAGGGATGTAATATCTGTAATACCCCTTTATCATATCACCTTCCACATCCCTTCCACATCACCAGGCCAACCCAGTTTAACTCCCTGTGTGGCGACAAGAAAAGTGCATGAGACCAAACATTTGTGTGCGTAAATGTGTTCAAGGGTGTGCTGGTGTGTGCACGAATGAGGATGCCAATGTGTGCGAGTGTGTGCAAGATCATGCAAATGTGGGTGCCACTGCACACATGTGCATGCACAAGTATGTTGGCATGTGCCTGAGCGCGTGCATGTGTGTCCCCATGTGTGCACATGTGTATATGAAAGTGTGTGTGTACGAGAGCATATTGGTGTGTGCTGGTGTGTGCACAAATGGGTTGCTGTGTGTGTGCGCATGCATGTATGTGTGCACAAGAACGCACTGGTGCACATGCATCTATGTATGTGAGTGTGCAGGAGCATGTTTGCACATGTGTGTGGTGCGTGTGCATGAGTGTGTGCAGTTACTGTGTTCATGTGTGCATGCATGAGTGTGTGTGCGCGTGCGTGTCTATAGCCACACTTAACACAAACTCCAATTCTGATGGAAAGTCCACCTCTCAGGGAGTTGGAGGAGGCCGCACGGTATATGGAAAACTTAGCTCAGGCGTCACTGTCACCACTTACTACCTGTGCACCCACACAGCTACAGGAGTGACCAGCTCCCACACCTCTGGGCCTCCCCTCTTTCCCCTGGGCCCTCCAGCACCTTGCCTCACATTGCTGACACCCCAGCCACAGACTTGGGGAGCATTCTCTGCAGGCAGGAGCCTCTGTGGCCGCGGGAGGGCTGGGGCAGGGCTGGGACTGCTGGGCACTTCTCACCCAGACACCACTGTCCTGCACAGGAGACTGCGCCACCAGGCACCTGGGTCAGCCCAGGCAGTGCTGGGGAGGACGAGGCTTCCTAACCAGGAGAGGCTGTGGGGCAACCTCTGGAGTGAAAGGAGCCCTTCCCCACGGAGGCAGGGGTCTCATGATGACTCTCTGTGTAAAGAGGCTTCGCCTACACAGCAGCCACTATGACCCTCGCCTTAGGAAACCCAGCTGTCAATGGAAACCAGCCCTGAGTCAGGGCAGCTGTAATTCCCAAAGTTATGCATTTACTGTTGTAAATGGAGAAGGCAAAAGATAATAGAAATGAGGCCGATAATGCATATAAACTCCTGCTCCCTAGACAGCGCCACTGCGGGATGAGTGATTTCCTGTTAGGTCCCGGCCAATCACTGCCTGGCACGTGTGTCAGGTTTACAGCAGAGTGTGTAAGCCCCGGGGACAGTCTAGAAATAAGCAGCCTTATATTTTGACCCAAGTTCAAAGTTCTAATTCTTTGATTTCCGGTTCACTTGAAAAATAAATGTAATCAGGTTTAAAAAAAAAAGGTTTATGTTATACGCGGTTAAAATTACTGTATGCCTAAGCTAAAAATACCCAGGCTGCTTGCCTAGGGGCTCCAGAACCCACAAGCGAATATTTTAAAGGCCAGAAGTAGGGTCCCCCATGCCCACGATGATTAAATCAAAGGTCAGACATGAAGAAGCAAAGACGAGTCAGTGGCCCACAGCCGTACTTGCTGAGGGGCCGGATGTTAACAAAGGCCCAGGGGGATCTTGAGACACAGGCATGCATATGAAGAAGGCATCAAATCTGGCCCATCAGAGCACAGATGGAAGCCAAGCTAGGCTCCATCCTAAGAGATAACTGCCTGATTCAAATCTGATCATGTTGGTTTAAATTGGTTCCTGAGCACCATGGGTATCTGCAACTCCGCCTGCCCCAGGAGTTGGGCAAAGGGGCTCCACCGAGACTGGCCCCTGTAGGGCAATGGTTTCTGATCTTGTCCTCCTCACTTCCTTCAGAGAATCTTAGAAAAGGACATTCTTTACTCCTCACACCTCCCTTGCTCCACCCACCCGTGCCCAGGGCTCCGACTCCATCTCCCTCAAGCCCTACCATGCTCTCCAAGTGACCAAGTGTGTGTCTACATTCGAGGGACTAGGGATCAGGGGCCAGGGAAGGCAGAGCTCCAGATTTGGAATAAAATTCATGTATACATTGCACTTTAATACATTTTCAAGTTTACACATTGTACACGATTAGACACAAAATTACTGATTTCCTTTTAAACCAACTGTCACTCTGGATTATAAGTGAGCAGAGGAAGCCAAAGAGGATCCAGGACCTAGGGTTTATCTGGAAAAATTCATCTTGTCCCTGGTCAAGAATGTTGTGATAATGGCCCAACACAAAACTTTAGGGTCGGGTGTGAGAAGAGGAAAATTTCCCAAAAGTTCCTCGCATTAGCTGATGCATAGCAAAGAAAATATCTGAGGTAACAGGAATCCCCTTCCTCAACTGTCTTTAACAAATTAGAGAGTGTGGCTTCGTACAGTGAATGGAGACCCCACTTTCTTGCTTACATAAAAGGCTGCTGTAGGAAGTGACCAAGCTTCTAAAGGGGTAAATGAATAACGAATGACACATTGAAAAGGGCTCAGGCACACACAGATCCAAAGGAAAATGGCTGCAGATCCTAACGGGGTTGGTCCACCCTTCTTTGAATTTGTTACCCAATAGCCCTTTCTGAATTATCCAGCAAAGTGACAGATGCAGGTTCACAATTAAAATGTTAAAAATTGGTAAGGTCCATGGTTTCCTCAGTTTAGGAAGACATTAGCCATCAAGCGAAAACTGGTCATTTAAATGTTAGTCTCTTTCTGGAAGATATTTAACGGAAATCGTTGGCTTTAAAGATCCATGGATAGAAACAGACTGTTTCAGGAAATGTGTCAAGTTTGGATTTTCCAGCCAGGGTCAAGTGGAACAGGACTTACTTGCAAAGACAGGGCTGGAAACACACGTTTTTGAGCTCAAAGTTAGGCAAAGGCCATCTGCCCTCAGGATGATGTGATCCGCCTCTGGGAAGAGGCAGGAAGGAGGGTGCTGGTGAGTTCCACGTTTCCCTGGAGGATGTGAGAGAGAAACGCTTCCCTGTGAAGATGATGATGGAAGGACCATCATACCCTCTCCCAAGACGAGATGAGATAAGAAAATGCAGAAACTGGAGAAGGAGCAGGTCTGCTTGGGATCCAGACCAACAACATAACCTTCCAAGCCCAATGCTAAAGAATGCAAGCAGCGCAAACAGAACCACAAGAAAAATGCTCTGGTCATGGGACTCTTGAGATACTAACGGTAGAAGCAACACTGGATGCTAGCAGCGCAAGGGCTATTTTCTTATGTGCAGCTGGCCTGTTGAAACTGGAGACACGCCAAGCTTTTGCAAAGTATTCCTCATCAAGAAATTCAAAGGAATGCTGCCACCATGTTCAGATGTGTTGGACACGTTCCAAGTGCAGTTAGTCACGTTTTGACCAGGAAGGAGAAATGTGGATTGAAGCCGTGATTAAAAGATGCCTGAACAAAGTGTGTGGAATTGTTCCAGCCACTAACGCTGTCCGTTCTGATAGTTTAAAGATACGTGTCCGTCAGGCACTGCTTTGGATGGTGCTATACTTTGTGAAGAAAGAGCAAGCCCTCCAGCTGTTTACCATCCAAGAAGAGAGAGCCCAGAGGCTGGTGACGGAGGGGCTAGTTCAGGAAGTCACTGAACATGAACAGCTGGTCTATGGCACTAGGGCCTTGGACAGGGATCCTGCAAAAGATGACAGGGCATGAAACAAAATCCTGACCCAGCGGTACCCTTGGTGTATGGTCATGGGACCTGGACGGGTGTGGGTGGAGGGCTGGGAGGGAGATCAACATGGCGTGGATACTAACACCTTCCAAACAAGATCAAAATCTAGCAAAATGATACCATGATAGGACATGTCAGACAGAGAAACCATTACTTGGGGGACTCTTGGTTCTCAGGATGCTGTGGGATTGTCAAATCTTGCCCTCTTTCCTTACAAACATTCAACCATCACTGCTCACTTCTCATAACCTGGACTAAACTACTCCCCAAACTTGTGCAGGGCCTGGATGTGGCAAACACACTTGCAGAGGAGGAAAATTGGGCCTGGAGTACGGACAGGACAGTGGTGTTTTCATCATTTTGCTAGATTTGTACTTAAAAATCATAGGCACGGAGGAGAGGAGGCAAAACTACTAGAAAGGTGTGTGTGTGTGTGTGTGTGCATGTGTGCAGCTGGTCACCATCACTACATAGGCTTGTGAACTGAGATATCACTGTCCAGAGCAGTATCACCAAGACCACAGTGTAGGTAAGGGTTAGTTATTATCATGGCAGATTTTTATCCTAAGTGCCCTTAAGTATTCATATTTTAAGCAATTATACTAATTTTTCACTTAAAAGCTTAGTTTTGATCCTTTAAATTGTAAGCACTGCTAAGAGTTTGAGTCACTCTACACTTTGGCTGATGGGTGCACATAAATCTGACAAGACAATTCCTGTGCCTCAGAAAGTTCTAGACAGAAAGTGGGGCATGGGAAAGGACTAGACATTCATACAAGGGAAAAAGGCAGACTGGATTGTCTAGAAATAAGGCTGAAACTTGGAGACCTTGGTCCTTTGAACTAAAATAGGGCACTGATGTCATAGGTGATTCTTTCAAAGACATTTCTTTTCTTTTCCAGTGACGCATCATTTCTTATTGTGAACTAATGAGTGCAGAGATTTTAAAAAAGAGAATGATTGTCATGAATGCTTACTTGAGTTCTTGTGAGCTGGTGGCCAACATACTTCGAATGCTTTTATCAGCCAGTGGGCAGCCAGACAGACTGTAAGACAGGCCGGGAGGAGCAGGTGAGTGACCCTCGAGGTAGCAGAGCCACCCGGACAAACACAACATACAACCGAATTTAAATGAAAAGAGGTCAATGCAGAAAAGCGATGGTGCCAGTGCTGTATATTGAATTTTTTTCTTACAATGAACTCTAAATATGTGCAAATATAAATTCAAGAAAACTCTGTTAATAAACTTTCTTTAAAAAAAAGATAAAATATTTGAGCTCTTTGGTTTAAATGTCTGAGAAGAGGTGCCCAAATTTAGGAAGCTCGAGGTAAAAGACATTATACAACACAATGGTTGGCATGCTTTGGAAGGTCAACATAGAGCACTTAAAGGGTTGACACAGAATTCAACATTTTTACTTTGACAGCATTGTTGAGGTAAGCTGAAAACAATAAATTGAAAAGACAGAATCCACCATGAAAAAAAATAAAGTCACACCTTCTGTGTGAGGCGTAATTACCAGTCACATGACCACTCCCATCACACCCCGGAGTTGGACATCTGCCACCAAACAAAAACAAAAACAAAAAAACAGCCAAAATAGTAAGTATGTTTAAAAAAAAAAAACTCGTAAAAAAGTTTCATTGTTTCCAGTTTAGCTGCAATGTCTGCAAGGGGGCGAGGTCCCTGAGGAGAAGCTGCGAGCGCACAGGTTTGATGGAATGGCGCCTGCAAACGACAGAGCGTCATTGCGTCATTGCGAACAGCAGGTGGCCTCGCCTCTCTCTCCGCGCGCTGCAGCCGGAGGCTCTGTGTGCCTCGAAGGAGCATGCTCACCCGGCCAGGCGCGACACAGCCATCGGTCTTAAGGGAAGCCAAGGAGAGGGAGGGCGGAGGAGACTCTTGTTGACATCTCCTGTTATGCTTACGTTATCAAATCCTTTTTGCTGTCCTTGCACTGGGGGTACTTGGGTTTGGGGCTTGGGATGGTCACCTCCCCAGGGTACCTTCTCTCTTCCAGAGCCTCCTGGAACGGGTCCAAATCTTCCGGCTGCAGACAAAGCACAGCTTGAACCATACAGGGTGACACGCACACAGGGTGGCCTTCTCTGCGGCCCACCTCTTACCCCACGCACTGAGAACCCATTGCATCTCTGTCCTGACAAGGCCTCTGCTGCAGATGAGGCCTGGTTTGTCCACCAGCTGCTCTCCAGGACAGATGGCCAGCAGCAGCAGGACTGGTGGTGACAGGCCGGTCACCAGGGACCTCTGCTGACACCTGGGTTTAACACTGCCCTGAACAGACCTGGGCCACCGCAGAATCTATTTCAGAATAGAGATCTTACTCGTCCCTGGTAGACAGAACAATCCTGTTCATGCCGTACTTTAAATTATTCTTAGGCGGTGTCTTTGTTACAGAACAGGTACCTTTCTCTGAGTGGTAACTTGCAGTAACCCTGATATTCCTATGGGTGGCAGTGATGAGCGCATGAGCTGTCTAAATCTTGTCCTTAGTGATTTGACTTCTGAATTTGTCATGAAAACGCTTCCTTTAATTTAAATAAATCTGGGAATTCAACTACCATGCTCTCTTTTGGCAGTAATGATTTTAACACTGCAGGGGAGAAAAAAAATACTTAGAAATTGAGCTAGCCCCTCAGATTTTTAAAATGAATTAATTAATTATCCAATGCCTGTATACTCAAATCAATTTGAAGAACAAAAATAACAGGCTCTGGGCCGGGGATTTAGCTCAGTGGTGTCACATCTTCTCGCAAACGCAAGGTCTTGAGTTCAATCACTGGTACCACAACGAACAATCAAACAACAATAACAAAATAACAACAGGCTCTTAGGTAAGCAGGTGCTTTCCCTGCCAGTTCCTTCACAGAGCTAATGTTTCTCTCTCTATGTTCTTGTTTATGTTGATGGAATTGCTCTGATAGTTGTCCCTTTTTTTTTTTGGTTTTTTTGAGACAGGGTCTCACTATGTAGTTGAGACTGACCTGGAACTCACTATGTAGTCCAGGCTGGTCATGAATTCACAGTGATCCTCCTGCCCCAGCTTCCCGAATGCTGGGATTACAGGCGTGCACCACCACGCCTGGCCTGATGGTTGTCCCTTTACTCCTCTCAAAAATTTTCCATTTTACAGTGAACAAAGAAGATGTCATAGTTTTCGACATGAATACTGAAAAAGTCACTCCAGTAAAGAAAAAATAATTCTCCACTTTTAATTTTTATTCCAAGGAGTAGTATATCTACCTCAAGGACCTGAATTTGAAAATTTGAACTTTGACACTGTGCCTTGGCACAGTTGGTTCAATAATTTGTCATAAGCAAGGATTTAGTGTTTGTACTAAAATAATGTTTTCAAGGCAAGACTCAAATTTTCTGAATATTTTGTTTCCTTAGAGAAGAGCTGTCCTTAGTTTTAAAGAGCACACAGGTAACCATCTAAGTATTTAACACTCTCATTATAATTTTCTGTCAACAAAGAAAACACTATTTTCTTTAGAAAAGAACTGAGGTGCTGTTTATGTATTTTCCTAGTGAAACTATTTGTAATTTTGTCTAACATACATGATAGAAAGTAAAATTTAAAAGAGTTTCTGTCAGTTAAATCAATGTCAATCGCACATCTCTTCCAGGTCAACAAAACATTTCTTTTTATAAGTCCTAATTAGCTAAAGGTCATGATTAAAGAGGAAATGCATAAGGGTGGTCAAAATACAAGATGAAAGTCTGAATTAAAAAGATTGTTGTTACAGTAAAAGACACATTGCCTTTAGCCCCCTTAAAATCTTTCCCCTCACTTTGAACACACTCATCTCATTGTTCTGGCCATTTCCTGCAGCAGCTCCGAGTTCTCCTTCCTGAGGGTCTTCACCAGGTGTGGCAAAAAATACAGTGAATTCTGCTGCCCAGCGCCATCCAACAGAAAGGCAGACTCATAAAAACACAACGTTGTGTCCTCATCCACCTTAGTCACTTGATCTGGCACTGTGGGACTCCCGGCTCGACCCCAAAGTCATTAAATGACCATGAAAGGGAGATGTTTTGAAACCATTCAGAACATCGAGGCAGCCAGGACAGTGCAGCTAAAGACCCTCACAAAGGAGAATTCCAGAGCTGCTGCAGGAAGTGGTAAGGGGTGGGGGATTCATGGTAGTGTGACTTTCACTGTAATACATGTTAAAATGTAAATATTCACCCTAGTTTTTAATCACATCTTATATTTTCCCCTGAGGGATGTGCAAATGTTTTTGTTTTTGTTTCATTTTGGGAGACAGGGTCTCACTAGGCTAGGCTGGTCTTAAACTTGAGACCCTCCTGCCTCAGCCTCTCTAGTTGCTGGGATCACAGTTCTGTGTGCCACCGTCTGCATTTCCAGGATCCTGCTTACCACCTCATAGAGAGTGCAGACCATGTCATGGAAAGACGTACCGTGATCTCTTTGGGGTCATCCTCATCCACCCGCCGGGGCTTCATCTTGGTGTAGTCCACTGGCAAGTCCCAGCAGTCCCCTTCGCTCAGCTGGAAGCACCTGGTGCTCATCACCGCCTGCTGCTGGGGGGACATGGGCTCCAGAGGCGTCAGGACGGGGCAGCAGCTGTCCCGCGGCCTCTGCTTGTTCATGCTGAGGTCCAGGGTGCCGTTCTCATCCACCTCCATGTCGGGGTTCTGTGGGCAGAAGGGTGGATCGTGGGCTTGGCGTGACCTGGCCGGGACACCCTGTAAGTCACTCAGTCAGCCCCCACTGTGGTCCCTGACACGGCTGCCTTGGGAACCCACGTGGTCAGGGGCCATGTGGTTTCCTGGCTCGAGGAACATCTCCCTCTCTCCACCCACTTCTCTATCATCTTTTATTTCCTCCCCCTTTCTTTCTACTTTGCCCCACACAGGACATCTCTATTTTTACAAGAGAGCTGGGCCAGAAGAAATTCAATGAAATGCTTTTCCCCACTGCAGGATGAAGACCGAGCATAAGGCTTTTGCACTGAGTTACACCCTCAGCCTTTTTTAAAAAAAAATTTTCAAATCAGGTTTCACTGGTCACTAAGTCACCCAGGCTGAGTTGGAGCTTCTCATCCTCCTGCCTCAGCCTCTCAGAGTGCTGAGATTACAGGTCTACACCACCACGCTAAATTTTGATTTCCTTGTAGATCAAAAATATGTGTGCATGTACGTGTGTGAATACATATATATGGCAGCTTAAAATATTTCCTTTCGATTCACTCATGCTGATATTTCAAGAATTGAAAAGAGGAAGAAGTTGAGCAGATGAAGGAAGTAGAATTTTCCTTCTAATAGGAAATCCTGTGTAGAGAGGGAGAAGAATCCCAGTCCAAAGGCCTGGTGGCTGGAGCTTTTCCCCTGCAGGATGAAGACCGAGCATAAGGCTTTTGCACTGAGTTACACCCTCAGCCTTTTTTAAAAAAAAATTTTCAAATCAGGTTTCACTGGTCACTAAGTCACCCAGGCTGAGTTGGAGCTTCTCATCCTCCTGCCTCAGCCTCTCAGAGTGCTGAGATTACAGGTCTACACCACCACGCTAAATTTTGATTTCCTTGTAGATCAAAAATATGTGTGCATGTACGTGTGTGAATACATATATATGGCAGCTTAAAATATTTCCTTTCGATTCACTCATGCTGATATTTCAAGAATTGAAAAGAGGAAGAAGTTGAGCAGATGAAGGAAGTAGAATTTTCCTTCTAATAGGAAATCCTGTGTAGAGAGGGAGAAGAATCCCAGTCCAAAGGCCTGGTGGCTGGATTCCTTTCTGCTGGTCTGGGTGTCAAACACCTGCAGTCTGCACAACTCTTAGGCCAGGAAGTGCAGTGAGCCTTTGGGTTTTGAATATAAAGAAACCTTCAAGAAGGCTAAGGATTCTTCAGAGGAGACACTTGCGGGCCACAAGAGCACAGACAGTAGAGAAACACAAATGTCCCCAATAGTCCTCCATTTCCCTCTCAAACACCGTCCTGAGTTCAAACAGGATTCCAGAGCTGGGGTGACAATGCTGTGTCCCCCGCATCATTTCCCTCCGGATGTCACTGCAGGAGCAGGAGGGTGCAGGGGGACTGGAAGCCCAACCTGGGGTGGCTTCTGAGAAACCTTTTCAGAAAAGACCTCTGTCTAAGTGCTCTCCTGAGCTCAAGCCGGGATGCCGAGGTAGGCCACATAATATCGGAATTATTCTCTGAGTTTAATTTCAAGAAAGAAAGAAAAACATCCACAGGGCTCCTTATCTTTCTTCCCTGCCAAAGAAGAATTTCTCCACACAAACCCTGACCACCAAGAACACTGCATGCTCCCCAGGCTTTGAAACTACCTAGGGATAAGGTTATCAAAAGAAAGCACCTGTAAAAATGTAAGACCACTGACCCTTCTACATTCACACAAATGACACGCGTTTATAACACTACTGTTAGGGCCGTGACCTCAGGGTGCAGACCCCTGGCTCCAGGGGGTGGAGGGAGGTGCCCTGCTCATCTGAGAGCAGGTGGACAGGTGCAGCCCCTTCTCTGGGCTGCAGAGCTTGGCTTGAACCGGCTACCAAGTGGCCCTGGCCAGGCAGCTGTCTTGATTCTCTGCACGTCTTAGTTTTGGCCCCTTCTTCACCTGCTTTAGCACAGACAGCGTGCTGACTGATAAGAAAATAAACCATAGAAAAGCCCTGCACACCGAGTCTGTGGCCACGCTGGGCTAAGGGTGCAGCCTGTGACCACGAGGCTGCAGTGAGGGTGCCCCATGTCCTTTGTCTGGGGTCACAACTCTGGATCCCAGTGAGGGTGGCTTCCTGTGACTTAGAATACCCACCCTCTGGGATGCTATGAGAGCCACGGTGCTCACCGCACAGGTGAGGGAACACGAGGAGCCCTGCACAAGCTGTAGGAGCCCGCCTCCCTCCCTGAGAGCGGGTGACCTGTAGCTGGCCGTACCCTCGTGGAGCACAGGTCCTGTGGCTTGGTGGACAGGTTCTGTGGCATCTCGCGGCAGCGCGTGGACAGGTTGAGGATGGCCGTGGCTGCCATGTGCGCCGCCTCCATGTCGTGTGTGTAGTCGAAGCTGCTTTTGCTGCAGGTGCTGCTGCTGCTGCTGCCACCGCCGCAGCTCAGGTTGCTGCTGCTGCTGGGTGCGTAGCTGCTGCTGCTTGGGCTGGGGCTGGGGCTGGCGTTCTTGCAGTACCGCTTGGCTGCGGAGACACGCGACAGGGACTCAGGCCGGCGCCTGCCATGCTCGGCCACGCATATGAGGGGCTGGTTCACCACGAAGAGCCCCGGCTCCTTCCCCCTTCCAACCTTCTGTCATGCTGGAACGAGCTAAGAGTGCGGAGCCTTGGGAGAGGAGGCGTCCTTTCCTTCCTCCAGTGGCACCATGCCTGCCTCCGACTTGGCTATGGCCTGAAGGGTGCCAGCCCATTCAGGTATGAGGACCTCGGCAGATCACTTATGGGCCAGCCAAGGGGCTGAGCGAGCGACTAGGGCACAGTGTGCTGCAGCAGGTGGCCCAGACTTACAGGGGACCTGGGGACTGCCTGCTGGAGCTCTGGGCAGTGAGATTCCGGCTGGCCGTGCAGACCAGACATGTGACCCAGACAGCCCTTGACCTGCAATTCTCACAGAGGCCAGGGGACAAGAGGGGGACACTGCACATACCTGTGGATGTAGCTCAGCTCAGGACACATGTGAGAGCCCCACTTAGGCTGGGCCACATGCTTGGGGCAACCCCCCACCCTTATACCACCAGTGCCCCTTCATGGGCCCTGGCAGAGCAGTGCCCCTTATGAGCAGCTATCCTCGCTAAAAGAGCTTAGCATAGGGTTATTTTTGGAGCTGCTTAAAAATCTTTTGCACATGGATGAGAACACGTATGGATGGATGGAGTATTAGGTGTGCCCTTTTCACTAACAGCGTCACCCCACCTAACGTCACACAGTGCTCATGCACACAGGGGCCAGGTACTCCAGCCAGGTGCAGGTGTGAGGGATTACCTCAAGGTAACCCTGCAGAGTGTTGCAAGACCCCCCAAAGCCTTCGTCTCTCCAGGTGTCCTGACCCCTCTGAGGTGGGATTTTCTTCTTTGGGGTTTGGCTCTGAGCAGGGTGGCTTAGGGTCATCCCAGCAGCATAGCATACCCTGAAGGGAGGGCAGTTGTGGGTGCAAGGGGGCCTCCACTGGACCCTGCGCCCTGGGTGTCATCCACACAGAGGCTGCGGCCCTGTACCTCGAGCCCAACCTCAGCGCTCCTTTGGAGAGGAACAAGAGAACAAAACCAAGCAACAAACCTTCTGCACAGCAATGCTAAGAAAGTGTCTTGGAGCACTGGGCTCCGAGAGGCAGGAGAAACAACTAGATGGTCAGCGCTATGACGCGAGCTTGGACTGAGGCTGCACTCTGGGGACAGTGATGACTGGACCCCAGGACAACAGGGGCACCCTGTGTCTGGCTCTGCCTCTGGCCAAAGAGAAGGAAACCGCACACTCAGATAACTGGTTTCCACTGTTTCCCTTGCATGGGCTGGCAGGCCAGCGTGTGCACACCCAGGACTATAAAATGCAACAGGCCGCCTGCAGACTGGGCAGATGGGTCTGTCTCAGCACAGCAGCAGGGAATGTCCTGTGTGGGGCATGGTCCCTGAGGTGTGGCATGGTCCCCCAGGTGTGGCATGTCCTCCTCCCTGTCCTTTTTGTACGCAGAGCCGTATAGCGCAGGGTGGACAGGGGCCACAGGTCCGAGCACAGCCCATGCCAGGCCTCTGAGCTACACTGCCCCGGGCCCCTCGGGAGCAGGGCAGAGGGACGCCAGTCACCTGACAGTGGGCACCGCAGCCTCTCTGTGTCACTGCCCATGGTGCCTTGGGGTGCCCTGCACTAAAGTTTATGAATTTGCTATCACTTTAAATTTGTTAAAAATAGGAGCGCGGATGCCGGAGAAGTGAACTAATTCACATTGGGGTGGGTGGGGGCTTTTGTGTTTATTTTTAACTGGTTTGTTTTTAAGACTAGCCAGGGGTTCAGGAAAAAAAAAAAAGGAGAGAAACTGTCCA